GGCGTCCTTTAAAAATATTTTGGTAATTTATGAATTTGTATTAATATTTATTTTATACTATATAAATAATTAAAATTGGAATATCTTAATCGTCCTTTGTATTCGAATGTTCGAGTTCTGTTTTTCACAGTTCAATATGTTGAAAACCATCATTTATTTGAGGCACAACTAATTCTCGACATTGAATTAAGTTTATCGTTTTTTTTTTTTTTTTTTTTTCTCAATGATATAGACATATTTAGATATTACAGCTTTAGTTACATTTCAACAAGTCATATTATAACGCGATTATAATTCGTGTTATTGCAGTTGCCATATTAGAATTATAACTTAGCTGTTCAATATGCTAGCGCCTATATCATTAAATTTAAACTTTGCTTACCCTTTTGGCATCTGATCTTTTCTTAAATACAAACAAAACAATAATAAATGAAAAATAAACTCCTAATTATATAAATGAAGTTATGATTATAAAATGATGGTTTAAATAAAGAGAAAATTTCAAATCATGCGTACCAACAAATTTAATTAAACCAAATTTCTGCATCCATAATTTAAAAGAATCAACTTTATGAAGAAAGATTTTAATCCGGCAAGCAAGAGAAATTTTTGGATTCGTAGAAATTATATAGGTTTTGGTTATATAACCAAACCTGAAAATAAATTTATAATAAAATAAACAATATTTTTTATTGTGACAAAACGTAAATAGCAATTCAAATTTTAAAACAAACCATTTTTCATCGATAACCTTAATATCATCATCTGATCTTAAATTTTTTAGTGCAAGTTGGGAGAAAATTTCGAAATTTTTGTCCGTATCCTGAAGTGGCTATTTATCAATAGTAAATTATTAGTTATATTTATAATTGTTATATTTTAAAAGTTATTATATTTAATTACTAATTTCTCGTTACGGAGTCGAGTAAGGAGATTCTTAAATAATAAATTTTCACGATAACCACTCTCACATTCAATATTTCCGTTTTCTTTTATAGCAATATGTTTAAGCAGTTCGGTATATTTTTTAACCTTACGCGCATGCTTAAGATCAAGTATACATCTACTGGTGAAAGGTTTGAGCCAGTGAATTGAAGAGGATGCTAACATGAAATTTTCATCGCACGAAGTGATCTTACCCTTCGAGCAATGAGAATTGGGTGGGCAGGGAACACAAACAGCTTCAAAAAAAAAAGAATACGTAACGTTAAAAAATAATAATAATAATATATATTAACAAATATGCTTAAGATTACGCATCATTGAGTCTTACTCTCGTTGCTCTCTAATAATTGACTATCGCAGAAGCCAGAAACCATTTTAGATTGAATATAACCAATTGGTATATTGTATATGGTTAACGAACCAAATATAAACATTATAAAAACTGTTGTGTAAATAATAATTGTCCGTCTATGTAGTGATAATTGTGATGTTATGAATTCGATTGGATTAAAATTTCCAAACGTATAAAATATCATTTTATTTCGAACATTAGTGTTTTCATCATTAATCTTAGAATAGTCAATATTCATTGACGCAGATGTTACTTCAGATATGAGACGATCCGACTATATTATATAAAGAAAAGATAAGTTATAAATTTAAATTGTATAAAAAAAAAATTCAAATTAATTTGAAGAAATATTTTGATACATTTGATGGTGTACTAGACGATGTAGCTATATTTTTCTTAAGCTGATTTTTCATTTCTTTTTCTCGTAAAGATGGTATAAGAGGTCGAATATTTGTATTAAATATTTCTATAAGACCTGCTTTCTTTTCTTTTCCAGTATAACTTATATTATGCGTATCTAGGATTTCCCGTAGCTGGACCATTGTAACTTTCTGAGGTAGAAAGTTTGGATCCATATAATAATCTTTATACGATTCCATTTTAAAAGATTTAAATTTTTTTTAATCAAGAAATCAGTATAAAGATGATCTTAAAACCTTTATTATAACAGTTATGACCCGAGAGTTTTTTTATACTGATTATCAAAATAAATTTCCAAAAAAATTATTTGTGACCATTTTTAATTGTAAATAAATAACGTTTTTTTCGGAAATATAATATGATACTCCGAGAATATACCTGATATACATACTGTACATTGAAAAGGTCGGAACTGGTTCTGGTCAGAATTCGACCGGAGGTTTAGGGTTCGGGTCTAACACATCACTATAGATCCAACAGTCAACCCTAAGTGGAAAGCGTCGAAAGAGGTCGTAGAAAGACTTGGATTGCTTGAGGATTTCTGTCTTCAGGGCCACGTGGCACGTGATCAAGGTATTTCAGCCTCGGCAGAGACTGAAATATTTCTTTGTTATCAATAGGGGGAATTAGGGATTAGCGAATGTGGTATTCGGGAGTAGATGGATTCGGTCACGAACGGTCACAATTATTCATAGCCAATTTTCTAAATACTGAGATGATTTTTTAATTTTGAGCTTTTAATTAAAGTTGTTCAGAATTAAATTCTGATCATCTCATCTTACAAGTGAAAAGAATGATACCTTCTCTGGAACTCGGAATTTCAAAATATGTTAACGCCATAACCGGTTATTA